CATCTTCAATTAACCACCAAAAAGCCAAAAGTGGAGCTGTGGTTCAAGTGGTAGAGTGTGTCTTGAGGGAAAAAGCTCAATGATATTACACAGGCTGAGTTCAAGTCCCAGAAAAGGTACCAAAAAACCCCCACAAAAACAAAACAAAAACACAGGGGCTGGGAAGGTGGCTCAGTGGTAGAGCGCTTGCCTTGCATGCCTGAGGCCCTGGGTTCGATTCCTCAGCACCACATAAGCAAAAAGAAAAAAGCCGGAAGTGGTGCTGTGGCTCAAGTGGTAGAGAGCTAGCCTTGAGCTGAAGAGCTGAGGGACAGCGCCCAGGCCCAGAGTTCAAGCCTCACGGTCGACCAAAAAAAAAAAAAAAAAAAAAAAAGCCCTATCAAAAAACAAAAACATGTTAAATGGCAGGCTGTGGAAAGTGTTATACTAGGTGTGGCTTTGTTAGATGGCTTGGGGAAATAAACAAACAAAAATACACTTCTGAGGACAATAGTAATTAAGTAACTACACCACTAAAGGAAGTATTTGAAATAATTTACCAAAAAACTCTTTTTTTTTTTTTGTCAGTTGTGGGGCTTGAACTCTGGGCCTGGGCGCTGTCCCTGCGCTCTTCAGCTCAAGGCGAGCGCTCTACTGCTTGAGCCACAGCGCCACTTCTGGTTTTCTAGTGGTTTATTGGAGATGAGTCTCACAGGATTGGGAAGGTGGGAATGCTTTGCTTTGCATGCATGAGGCCCTGAGTTCAATTCCTCAGCACCACATAAGCAAAAAAAAGAGAAAAAAGTCGGAAGTGGTGCTGTGGCTCAAGTGGTAGAGCACTAGCCTTGAGCTGAAGAGCTGAGGGACAGTGCGCAGGCCCAGAATTCAGGCCCCACGACCGGACTCAAAAAAAAAAAAAAAGTCTCACGGACTTTCCTGCCCTGGCTGGCTTTGAACTCAGATCTCAGCCTCCTGAGTAGGTAGGGTTACAGGTATGAGTCACTGGCACCTGGCCAAAAAACTTTTTTTTTTTTGGTCCAGTCATGGGGACCCAACTCTGGGCCTGGGCGCTGTCCCTCAGCTCTTCAACTCAAGGCTAGCGCTCTACCACTTGAGTCACAGGGCCACTTCCGGCTTTTTTTTTTCTTTATTGCTTATGTGGTGCTGAGGAATCGAACCCAGGGCCTCAGGCATGCAAGGCAAGCGCTCTACCACTGAGCCACCTTCCCAGCCCCCAAAAAACTCTTAAGTATTCTCTTTTCAGGTGATTTAGCCAAAGGGAGATGTGATTATTTAGCCCTCTGCTGTGTTTTGTTTCTGAAAACTTAGAACTACACACAACAATTTGACTCTACTTTGTAGTAAGTACAAAAATTCACTGTAATCTGGGAGTCTGTGGCTCTGGCCTATATTACTAGCTACTCAAGAGGCTTAGATCAGAAGATTGAAGTCTGAGGCCAGTCTGAGCAGATACTTCTGCAGGACTCTATCTCCAATTAGCAATATGCTGATAGAGAGGCACAGCTCAACAAAACAGCAGAAGCAAGCAAGCTGAGAGTGCTAGGCCCAGAGTTTAATGGCACCAGCATTAACAAAAGAAAGAAACATTAAAGAACATTCATTGTATAATTTCTTCTTCACTCAATACTGTTATATAACTTGAGTCACAGTTCCACTTCCAGCAGAATACAGGACAGGATTCACTGTTTTATAACCTTTAACGGAATCCTAGATTTGGGCAAGTTATTAATAGATAAAATTAAGAAAAACCCTGAGGGCTGGGAAGGTGGCTCAGTGGTAGAGCATTTGCTTTGCATGCATGAGGCCCTGGGATCAATTCCTCAGCACCACATAAGCAAAAAGAAAAAAGCTGGAAGTGGCCCTGTGCTAGCCTTGAGCTGAAGAGCTGAGGGACAGCACCCAGGCCCAGATTCAGGCCCCATGACCAACCCCCCCCCCCCAAAAAAAAAGAAAAAACCCTGAGAACTTTACACTTACAATGGTCTTTCAGAATCAAAACCCATGTATTACCTTTTCTGAGACAGGCTTTCACCATGTAGCCCAGGCTAGCCTCAAATGATCCTCCTGCCTTGGCCTTCCAAGTGCTGGGATCACAGGCATGCACAGCATGCTCAGCTTCCATTATCCATCTTTTCCTGCTTGGTGGTACTGGGGTTTGTACTTAAGCAAAAGGCTCTTGTTTGGCTGGTATTCTACTACTTGAGCCAGGCCTCCACCCTTTTCTGCTTTAGTTATTTTGGTTTGTCTTGATTTTATGCCACAGTGGGCCTAGACTCTCTCTCATAGTTAAGATGAAAAGCACTTGCAACCAGCTTTCATTTTATTTGTCAGTCATAGGGCTTGAATTCAGGGCCCAGGAACTGTCCCTGAGCCTCTGTACTCAAGGCTAGTGTTCCACCATTACAGCCACAGCTCCACTCTCAGTTTCTCAGTGGTTAATTGGAGGTAAGAGTCTTTAGGGGACTTTCCTGCCTATGCTGGCTTCGAACTGCGATGCTCAGATCTTAGCCTTCTGAGTAGCTAGGATTACAGGCATGAGCCACCAGCACCTGGCACAACCAGCTTTTTATTGGTTGAAGGTCTCATAATTTCTTTGTGCTGGCTGGCCTTTTGACCTACATCATCAATCTTTTTCTTTTTTGCTGGTACAGGGGCTTGAACTCAGGGTTGGGTTCTGTCCCTAAACCTCTGTGCTCAAGGCTAGCACTCACCACTTCAGCCACAGTGCCACTACTAGTTTCTGAGTAGTGTTATTGGAGGTAAGAGTCTCACAAGACTTTCCTGCCCAGGCTTGGCTTTGAACCACATTTCTCAGATTTCAGTCTCAAGTAGCTAGGATTATAGGCATGAGGCATCAGCACTGGGCCCACCACCAATCTTATCAGAACACGAACACACATACACATACCACCCACACCCACCCACCCACCCACCTACCCACACACACACACCAAGAAGTCTTCTAGTTCTGACAGTTTAAGAAAAACTTTTTGCCAGTCCTGGGGCTTGAACTCAGGGACTGGGCACTTCTTTTTTTTTTTTGGTCGGTCATGGGTTTGAACTCTGGGCCTGGGCACTGTCCCTTAGCTTTTCAGATCAAGGCAAGTGCTCTAACACTTGAGCAATAGTGCCACTTCCAGGTTTCTGATAAGTAATTGAAGATAAGTCTCAGAGACTTTCCTGCCCTAGGTGGCTTTGAGCCGTGATCCTCAGAATTCAGCCTCCTGAGTAGCTAGGATTACAGCCACCAATACCCGCCTAAGATAAACCATTCAAGCTGGGCAGCTACTCAGGAGGCTGAGATCTGAGTTTGAGGCAAGTGTGGACAATGAACTAATAAGAAACTGTTAGTGGAGCTGTTACTCAAGTTAACAGAACATTAGCCTTGCACAAAAAAGCTAAGGGACAATGTCCAGGCTATGAGTCACAGTACCCACATACACACACAAAAAGAGGAAGAACCGGAAAAATTTGAATACTGACTAGAACATCTGATGTTAAAAGGTGTTTTAGGGGGCTGGGAAGGTGGCTCAGTGGTAGAGCGCTTGCCTTGCATGCATGAGGCCATGGGTTCGATTCCTCAGCACCACACAAGCAGAAAAAGCCAGAAGTGGTGCTGTGGCTCAAATGGTAGAATGATCCCCTTGAGATGAAGAGCTCTGTGACAGCACCCAGGCCCAGAGTTCAAGACTCATGATTGGGGGGAAAAAAAAAAAAAAAAAAGAGTATGACACTGGTACTGTAATTCTGTTCCCAACTGCCACATTTGTGCTTGCTTCAGCAGCACATATAGTAAAATTGGAAGCATATAGAGATTAGCATGGTCTTGAGAAAGGATGATGTAACAAGTTGCACTGGTGGCTCACACAGGTAATCCTAGCTATACAGGAGGCTAAGATCTGAAAATCATGGTCATAAGCCAGCCCAGAGAGTAGTCCATGAGATTCTTACCTCCAATTAACCACCAAAACCAGAAGTGGCGCTGTGGCTCAAAGTGGTAGAGCACTAGCCTTGAGCAAAAGAGCTCAAGGACAGTGCCCAGGCCTCATTACCAGGACAAAAAAAAAAAAAAAAAGTTCTACATTTATGAATATTTTTGAATAAGTCTCTGAAGTATGCAGATATGAAAATATTATGTGGTGGGACTCAAACCGCTCCTGAGCTGGGGGCATGTAAGGACACGTATAAAGAAGACAGAGCTGCTGATAGTGGGGGATGGGTACATGTGGCTTCACATAGTACTATACTCTTTATTTTTGTGTACATGTGAATATTTCTGTAATAAAATATTTTTTTTAAAAAAGGAATTAGTTTTATCCTGCTATACTACAAACATCCATTTCCAGGAAGAAAAATAGCATTTTCTGATGGACCACTAAGTATTACATTAACTTCAATCAAGTTACTTAGAAATTGACAAAGAAATATTCCATTTTTTAAAAGATAATAAATGAAAGACATATTGTATCAATACAAGAATACCATGGGAAGCTCAAAGCAGAGAAGTTTGTAGACTTTGGAGGTCAATGTAAGCATCTGTCCTAGCTCTGCTGTTTCCCATCCCCTAGGCTCCCCGGGTTTTGGCAGATCATTTAATTTCCATGAGCCTGGGGTCCAGGTCCATAAAGCAAGGTAATTAATAATATTTCTTGATCAGCAAAGTACTTAGCTCAGGGTTTGGCACATGCTAAGTGCTCAGTAAATGATTCCAGTAATTCCATTTCCCCAGTTCAGTATTAAATGCACATTTTCCCATAATCTAAATGGAGAGATAACTCCTAATTGATGGCATTAGTTCAGTTATTAGAGATATGCAATTAAGTAACTACAAAGTAATAGCATCAAAGACTGAAGATTCACATGATATCAGTCATGCTGAATAAAGCTAGTTTCCTCATTTCTGCTTCAGGATTATTTTGAGGATCTAACTTGAGACAAAATATTTCAAGTCTGAGCAAAATATTTCTAATATATCATGAACAGAACAGTTTGCAGACAAATTAGTTTTGTAGAAAATGGTTTATCAATTCCATTTTGGTATAAAACACATGGAAGAAAGCTGGCCAATCTACACAACTATCACGATGTGAAAAGGTTCTTTTATCAAACTTTGAGTCTAAAAATGTACAAATGTTTTTTCTGTCATGCCTTCAGTAATTTTCTATGCTTTTCTATTTAACTATTTAAAAAAATTCCATACATTTCCATTGTTTTCGTCTGTCCCAGTTACAGTACAGTGATGGGAAGGAAAAGGGTTAAACAACCCTCTAAGCAGTTTTCTGCTGTCCCTTCTTTCCAATTAGAGATTTGTGGATGTGAGGGATCACACCTAGAACGAAATTTAAAAAAAAGTTATTAAAACAGTCTTTCCATTGGTCAATCTTAATGCTTTAGTTCTTGAAGTGAAAAAAAAGAATTATATAAAGAATAAGATTTACTCAAGTCTATTTTACATTCTGATCCTATTAAAACTATCTCTATCTAAGCTGGGCACCATTGGCTCACACCTGCAGTCCCATCTACTCAGGAGGCTGAGCTCTGAGGATAGAGGCTCAAAGCAAGCCCAGGCAGGAAAGTCCATGACACTTATCTCCAATCAATGGCAAAAAACGAAAGTAGAGCTGTGGCTCAAGTGGTAGAGCAGCAGCACTGAGTGAAAAGTTAAGCAAGAGTACAAGACCCCAAGTGTAAGACACAGTACCAGCACCAAACCAAACCAAACAAGCCGGGTGCTGGTGGTTCACTCCTGTAATCCTAGCTACTCGGAAGGCTGAGATTTCAGGATCTCAGTTCCAAGCCAGCCCAGGCAGGAAAGTCTGTGAGACTCATCACCAATTAACCACTAGAAAACAGAAAGTAATGCTGTGGCTCAAAGTGGTAGAATGCCAGCCTACCACCACCACCAAAAACCTGAAAGTACATCAAGGGTTTTCCCAAAAGCTAATGTAGGTGAAACTGTTGAGTTTATATGCATTTTAAGCAAAGAGTCACCAATAGCTTTCATAAACCTTCAATTTACATCCAAACTTTCATTGATCCTGATCAACTTCCACTACCTTCAGCCCTTCCAGGGTTATTGGCTAGAAGATTTCTCAAGATCATTTCTCAAACAGTTTAGAAGATAAGCAAGAATTACTTCAAAAATCAGGCTTGAAATATTCCATATAAAATTTAGAATAAAGCCGGAGATGGTGGCTCACACCTGTAATCCTAGCTACTCAGGAGGCTGAGATCTGAGGATCACGGTTCAAATCTAGCACAGGCAGGAAAGGGCAGGAAAGTCCCTGAGACTCCTATCTCCAATAAACCACTAGAAAACCAGAAGTGGCACTGTGGCTCAAGTGGTAGAGTGCTCGCCTTGAGTTGAAGAGCTGAGGGACAAGGCCCAAGCCCAAAGTTCAAGCCCCACAACCGACCCAAAAAAAAAAAGATATATTGGATTCACAAACTGATTTGTTAAATGGCAACTCCTTTGTATAACTATTTAAAGGTAATAATTTTTTTTCTTAGCTTTTTTTTGTCATCGGTGGTGGGGCTTGAACTCTGGACCGGGGCACTCTACCTGAGCTCTTCAACTCTTCAAGCACTCTACCACTTGAGCCACAGCGTCACTTCCAGTTTTCTGGTGGTTAATTGAAGGTAAGAGTCTCACGGACGTTCCTGCCTGAGCTGGCTTTGAACCATGATCCTCAAATCTCAGACTCCTGGTATCTAGGATTATAGGGGTGAGCCACTGGTGCCTGGCTTTTTTTTCTTTTCTTTTTTTTTTTTGGGGGGGGGTCCGGTCGTGGGGCCTGAACTCTGGGCCTGGGTGCTGTCCCTTAGCTCTTCAGCTCAAGGCTAGTGCTCTACCACTTGAGCCACAGCGCCACTTCCGGCTTTTTTCTTTTTGCTTATGTGGTGCTGAGAAATCGAACCCAGGGCCTCGAGCATGCAAGGCAAGCGCTCTACCACTGAGCCACCTTCCCAGCCACCCCTCCTTTTTTTTCTTTAATTTAGACAAACAAGCTGGATGCTGGTGGTTTATGCCTGTAATGCTAGCTACTAAGGAGGCTGAGATCTGAAGATTGTGGTTTGAAGCCAGCCTGAGCATGGAAGTCCCTGAGATTCTTAACTCCAAAAAAAGCCAGAAGTAGCACTGTGGCTCATAGTGGTAGAGAGCTAGCCCTGAGCAAAAAGAGGCTCAGTGACAGCACCCAGGCCCTGAATTCAAGCCCCAGGACTAGCAAACAAAACAAAACAAAAAGCTACTAATCATCTAGGCTTAATAATACATACCACCCCCAGCTATGGTAGCCTTGATAAGAGAATCCAGCTCTTCGTCACCACGGATTGCAAGCTGCAAGTGACGGGGAGTGATACGCTTTACTTTGAGATCCTTGGAAGCATTTCCTGCCAGTTCCAGGACCTACAAAATATCCAGGAAAACCATATCAAATAAAGGATGAACAGTGCAAGGTTTCAGCCTTACATGTTCCTCTAGCTAGTCTCCCAGCTAGAACTAAAAAGATTCTTCTAAAGGCAAGGAATGTGGCTTAGTGGTAGAGTGCTTGTCTAGCATGCGTGAGGCCCTGGGTTCAATTTCTTGGTACCACATAAATACAAAAAATAAATTATTTAAAAAAAGATCCTTCTAGTATCTGTCCATATGACACATGTGTAATTTACATATAATGATGTTATTTTTCTTATATTATTATAATGCTTTTATAAAAACTCTCAGCTACTCAGGAGGCTAAGATCTGAGGATCACGGTTCAAAAGGCAGCCCAGGCAGGAAAGGCCATGAGACTATTACCTCCAATAAACCACCAGAAAACCGGAAGTGGCTCTATGGTTCAAGTGGCAGAGCACTTGCCTTGAGCTGAAGAGCTGAGGGACAGCACCCAGGCCCAGAGTTCAAGCCCAACTGACAAAAAACAAAAATAAAAACAACCAGCTCTCCTTAGTTCATTTGATGCTTTTTATATTCATTCTCTACAATGAAGACAGAAACTTGGGCAATAATCCTACTTCTAGCTGGAAAGATGGTAGGTTACACCTGTAATCCTAATTACACAAGCATCTGAGATCTGAGGAACCATTTGAAGCCAGCTGGCAGACAATCCCTGGCAAAAATTCAGAAATAGGTGTAGTTTAAGTGGTATAATACCAGCTTTAAGCAAAAAAAGCTAAATAAGAGCACAAAAGTCCTGAGTTTAAGTCCCAGTACTGGTATCAAAAAGAAAAAAAAATTAATCAAACCAAACCAACCATACAATTAAAACAAAACCAGGTGCTGGTCAAGGATGCTGAGATCTGAGGATCAGCCCAAGCAGACACATTCCTGAGACGATCTTCAATTAACCAACAAAAAGCCACAAGTAGAGATATGGCTCAAGTGCCATCCTTGAGCAAAAAAGCTAAGTAAGGTACTGCCCAAACCCTGAGTTTCAAGCCCTGATACTGACACATGAAAACAAAAATATAAACAACTTACTATTACAAAGAAAAAAAATTAAACTACAATGTATATTATCACCTCTTATCTATGATTCTAAATGTGAGCATTTATAAAGGCCATATATTTTAATAAATACATATAGTACTTTTTGATACCGATATAGTGCATTTTCCTTAATGACTATGACTTTTTTTGTTGTTGTTGTTGGTTGTGGGGCTTGAATGCTGTCCCACAGCTCTTCAGCTCAAGGCGAGCACTCTACCACTTGAACCATAGCGCCACTTAGGGTTTTTTTAGTGGTTTATTCACGGAGGGGGGGGGCCGGCGGGGGGCCTGGGAAGGTGGCTCAGTGGTAGAGTGCTTGTCTCACATGCATGAGGCCCTGGGTTCAATTCCTCAGCAACACATAAGCAGAAAAAAAAAAAAAGCTGGAAGTGGCACTGCAGCTCAAGTGGTATAGCGTTAGCTTGAGCTGAAGAGCTGAGGACGGTGCCCAGACCCAGAGTTCAGGCCCCATGACTGACCAAAAAAAAAAAAAGTTCTTAGGACTTTCCTTCCTGGGCTGGCTTTGAACCATGATCCTCAGATCTCAGCCTCCTGAGTAGCTAGGATTACGGCATGAGCCACTGGCGCCCAGCAATGACTATGACTTCTTAATGTCATAAAAAAAATTTGAAATGTAATTTGAAATTTCTGATTCATGGTTTTCAATGTTAGTGGGTACTATAAAACTAGCCAGGTGCTGGTGGCTCACATCTGAAACTCTAGCTACTCAGGAGGCTGAGATCTAAGAACTGCATTTCAAAGCCAGCCCAGGCTGGTAAGTCCATGAGACCAGAAAACCAGAAGTGGCATTGTGGCTCAAAGTGGTAGAACACTAGGTTTGAACAAAAGAGCTCAAGGACAGTGCCCAGGCCTTGACTTCAAACGCCAGGACTGACAAAAGAAAAAAGTAAAAAAAAAAAGCTATAAACAATAAATCTTTTATCCCACAGCAGCAATCTTCAAATTTCTTTTTCCTTTTTACCAGTCATAGGGCTTGAGCTGAGCATGGATTCTCTCGCTAAACCTCTTTGTTCTCAAGGCTAGCACTCTATAACTTGAACCACAGTGCCACTTCGAGTTTTTGAGTGGTTACTTAGAGATAATGATCTCACAGGGACTTCTCTGCCCAGGCTAGCGTCAAGCTGTTATACTCAGATCTTAGCCTTCTGAGTAGCTAGGATTATAGGCATGAACCACTGTCACCTGGAAGAATCCTCAAATTTCAAGTCCACTTAGCTACAACATGGTACTGTTGGTTTTTACCTTCATAAACTCCACTGGCATCAATCAGTATAAAAATCACTCCTCAAAGCCTTCTCAAATATATTTATTTATTTTATTTATTTAATATTGTCAGTCATGGGGCCAGAACTCTGGGCCTAGGCGCTGTCCCTGAGCTCTTCAGCTTGAGGCTAACGCTCTACCACTTGAGCCACAGCGCCACTTCTGGCATTTTCTGCATATGTGGTGCTGAGGAATTGAACCCAGGGCCTCATGCATGCAAGGCAAGCAATCACCCCTGAGCCACCTTCTCAAATATGTAAGTAGAGCAGAAGTAAGACTTGAATGTACATCAGAATCAAATGTTGACCTGAGCTTTAAAAACTGACACTTGCCCATCCTTCCCAGGGACTCTGACAGGTCTGGGATGAGACATAGCAGCAGCATTTTTTGAAAGCTTTCTAAATGGTTCTAGTTCCAAGCCAAGATCAAAAAGTGCTTATCCTTGCTCTACACTGTCTTGGCTGAGGGTGCAGACTACTAAACGACTAACTCCAAATTTAAGTGTAGGCAATGTACCACTTTAAAAATTCTATGTTCTGGGGCTGGGAATGTGGCTCAGTGGTAGAGTGCTTACTTAGCATGTATGAAGCCCTGTGTTCAATTCCTTAGTACCACATAAACAGAAAAAAGCCTGAAGTGGTGCTGTGGCTTAAGTGGTAAAGCACTAACTTTCAGCCAAAAGAAGCTCAGAGATAGTAACCAGACCCTGAGTTCAAGCCCCATGACAAGCAAAAAAACAAAACAAAACAACAAAAACCCCAAAACTGTATGTGCTGTTAAAACCCACATCTCTCTTTATGGTACTGATATTGAATCTAGGGCCTGTTAGGTCCTTAACTCTATTCTTTGTGCTGTACCCTCTGTTTAATTTATGGTAGTCGCATAATACCTATAATCTGTCACTTGGAAGACTGAGGCAGAAGTATTACCAGTGTAAGAACTGCTGGTCAACTCTAAGACCAACATGTAATTAAAACAAAGAGAGAGAGGGAGAGAAAAAAGAAAAAGAAAGAAGCCCTGTTGGCTCACACATCTATAATCCTACTCTAAAAGCCTCAGATCCAGAAGATGTGGTTTAAAATCTGCCTGAGCAAAAAAATACCAGAGACTTCATCTCCAAAATAACCAGCAAGCTGGATACTGGCAGCTTATGCCTATAACCCTAGCTACTCAGGATACTAAGATCTGAAGATGGTGGTTTGAAGCCAGCCAGGGTAGGAACAAACTACTCAAATAAGCTGGAAGTGGCGCTGTGGCTCAAGCAGTAGGTCACTTGCCTTGAGCAAAAAGAAGTTCAGAGTTAGCACCCAGGCGCAGAGTTTAAGCCCCAGGCTTGGCAAGAAACCCAACAAACCAACAAAAAACACCCCCCCCAAAAGGTGAGCTAGAGAAGAAGAACACCAGATGAGCAAGCTGGCTAGTATGAGGTCCTCAGATACTATTCCACCAAAAAACAAAACAAAAGCAGAAAAATGCAAGGAGATAGAACAATAGTGATTTAAAGCAAATCCAGGCAACAACAGATAGCTAGACCTTATATCCAAAACCAATCTCGGCTACTCAGGAGATGTCTCGGGAGAGCAGGAAGATCTGGGTTTGAGGCAAGAAGAAATTCAGGCAAGAAGAAATGATGATCCCATATTAATATATAAGCCAGGTGTGGTGATATGAGCCAGTGATCCTAGCTATTCTGGGGTCCATAAGTAGGAGGATTTCAGGCTGAGGCAAGTCCTACGCAAAAACTCAACTCTAACAGGGTACCTGTGGCTCACACCTGTAATCCCAGCTACTCAGGAGGCTGAGATCTCAGGATTACGATTCAATGCCAGCTGGGGAGGAATATCCATGAGACTCTTATCTCCAATAAACCACCAGAAAACTGGAAGTGGCACTGTGGCTCAAGTTAGTAGAGCACTTGCCTTGAGCTGAAGAGCTGAGAGACAATGCCTAGGCTCAGAGTTCAAGTCCCACAACCGACACAAAACAAACAAACAAACAAACTCTACTAGGGAAAAAAAAAAGGCTGAAAGGGTTGGGAGTGTGGTAGAATTCTTAACCTCAGCACCACCAACAAACATACAAACAAAACAAAAAATAAGCCACCTGCAATCCCATCTATACAAGAGGCAGAGGTAGGAACATTAGGAATAGATACGAGTCTGGGAAAGTATGAGAGACCACATGAAAAATCAAAGCCAAAAAGGCTGGGGGTATGTAAGTAGTAGAGCCTAACATGTGTGAAGCACTGGTATGAAAAATAAAAATTAACAAAACAAAACACACTGTCCAAAAAGAAATGTATTCTTTACCTGACATATAATTATAAACCATCTGTAAATCACCTTTAAAACAATAAAAAAGGAAAAAAAATTTAAAAAAATTAAGGGGAGGGAAGGAATGAGAGGGAACAGCTTATCCTAAGCAAAAGGAAAGAAATGTACATTACATATCACCCCATAGAGAAGAAATAGTAGTATTGTCAAAGCTCATAGAATTCACAAAAATTAAAGACCATGATAATGACAATTTGCCTTGTAAAGGTTTTGTGTTTGTGACTTTAACTAAGTACCACTATCTCAGAATACTGTGAAATTGGGCTGGGAAGGTGGCTCAGTGGTAGAGTACTTGCCTTGCTTGCCTGAGGTCCTGAGTTTGATTCCTCAGCACCACATAAACAAAAAGAAAAGCCGGAAGTGGTGCTGTGGCTCAAATGGTAGAGCGCTAGCCTTGAGCTGAAGAGCAGAGGGACAGCGCCCAGGCCCAGAGTTCAGGCCCCATGACTGGACCCCCCCTCCAAAAAAAAAAAAAGAATACTGTGAAATTTGTGCAAACACTTAATCCAATAAAAAATTAAAAAAAATTTAAAATGTAGTGTAGATGAGACTTAAGCAGTACAATCTAAAATACTATGTTGCATCAGCATGAACAAAAATGAATAACTAGCCGGGCGCTGGTGGCTCACGCCTGTAATCCTAGCTACTCAGGAGACTGAGATCTGAGGATCACAGTTCAAAGCCAGGCAGGAAAGTCCGTGAGACTCTTATCTCCAATAAACCACTAGAAAACCTGAAGTGGTGCTGTGGCTCAAGTGCTAGAGCTCTCGCCTTGAGCTGAAGAGCTGTGGGACAGCGCCCAAGCCCTGAGTTCAAGGCCCATGACTGACAAAAAAAAAAAGAATAACTTGGGCTATGAATGTATCTTAGTGATAGAGTGCTTGCCTAGCATGCATGAGGTCCTGGCTTTGATTCTTGGTACCATATAAACAAAAATAAAATAAAATAAAAAAGAATACCTTGATGGACATGATGGCCCAAATGTGTAATTCCAGCAGCTAGGAGGCAGAGGCAGGAGGATTGAGAATTTGAGGTCAAATTGGGCTACATAGTGAGTTCCAGGCCATCTTGAGGCATGTAGTGAGACACCTGTCTCAAAAAACCAGAACAAACAAAAACCACATACCTTTCTAGAGTCTGCAGTTAAAAAAAATCTAGTATAATACTGAAAGTGTTTCAATAATACCACACAAAACAACCTGCCCATGACACAAACTCTAAACTATTGATAATTCAATGTTAAATAATCAAAGGGACACGAAGTGAGTTGGAGAAGATAATAAAATGACAGCAACAATAAATGACACATACTTAGGCCTACACTCCTCCATCTAATTCCCTACCACATACTCCTCAATCAAGACCATTCTGTTTATTAGCTTGGCAGTCTGTGCACTTGACTGGCTTGCTATTCAGATTATTTTCCTTGTGTGGAATAAAGCTGAAGGACTTTCATGTCTTCCAATTAGTTTTCCTTAGGATAAACAGGGATGTCACAGTTTAAGAATTACAAACTCGGGGGCTGGGAAGGTGGCTCAGTGGTAGAGCACTTGCCTTGCATGCTCGAGGCCCTGGGTTCAATTCCTCAGCACCACATAAGAAAAAAGCCGGAAGTGGCGCTGTGGCTCAAGTGGTAGAGCGCTAGCCTTGAGCTGAAGAGCTGAGGGACAGCGCTCAGGCCCAGAGTTCAGATCCCACTACCAGACCCAAAAAAAAAAAAAGAATTACAAACTCGTCGAGGGCTGGAGGTTCATGCCTATAATCCTAGCTACTCAGGAGGCTGAGATCTGAGGATCGTGGTTCAAAGCCAGCTTGGGAAGGGCAGTCTGTTAGACTCTTATCTCCCATAACCCATTCAGAAAATTGGAAGTGTGTGGTGCTGTGGCTCAAATGGTAGAACACTTGTCTTGAGCTGAAGAGCTTAGGGACAGCACCCAGGCCTAGAGTTCAAGCCCCATGACCGGGAAAAAAATTTTTTTTTTTACAAACTCAAGCTGGGCACTGGTAGCTTACACCTGCAATCATAGCTATTCAGGAGGCTGAGATCCAAGGATCATGGTTCAAAGCCAGCTTGGGTAGGAAAGCCCATGAGATTCTTATCTCCAGTTAACCATCAGAAACCAGAAGTGGCACTGTGGCTCAAAGTGGTAGAGCACTAGCCTTGAACATAAAACCTCAGGGACAGTCTCCAAGCCATACAATTGCAAAAAAAAAAAAAAAGAACTACAAACTCTTGCCCAAGTAACGAATCTTCTGAAATGTCAAACCTATGTATAATCATACAGAAAACCAGAAGATCTTTACCTAACAAGTAAAAGATCTGTGACATCATCATAATACATTTGGGACTTTTATGTATCACCCTGGGTATTCTTCTTCTCCTGCCACCTTTTTGAGACAGTGTCTTTCTGTGGAGCACAGGCTGGCCTGGAAGAGATTCTCCTGTCTCAGCCTCCTGAGTGGCTGTATTATAAGTGAGTTCCACTGTACCTGCCTAGAGCAACATTCTGGCTAGCTTTTTTCTGCCCAAAATCTTCATAAATGAACAGGTTATACTATAACTTGTCTCTTGACTCTATTAACATATACCTCAGTATTCACTTTATTACTATTTTACACTCTTATGTCACTTAAAAATATGGATTACTGGCCATTCCTTAATTGTAATAATAAGCACACTGAGGCTTTGTTTTGTTGGTACTGGGGTTTGAACTTTTGCACCTGCTCAGTTTGCTTTCTCAACTGGCACTCTACTGCTTAAGCCATACCACCAGCCTGGCTTCTTGCTGGTTATTTGGGAGATAGAACCTTGTGAACTCCTCTGCCAAGGCTGGCTTTAAAATCTCAATCCTGCAGACATGAGCCACCAGCACCAGGTATATCAAGTTTTATTTTTAACACTGGCACTGCATGATTGATAGGCTGACAGAGGCATTTATAACTGCTATTTAAAAGAACCAGATTGAGTGGGAGAGAATGAGGGACGGGGTAACTGTTAAAAAAGAAATGTACTCATTACCTGACTTATGTAACTGCAGCCCTCTGTACATCACCTTAACAATAAAATTTAAATTTAAAAAGAAAAGAAACAGGGCTGGGAAGGTGGCTCAGTGGTAGAGCGCTTGTCTCACCACATAAGCAAAAAGAAAAAAGCTGGAAGTGGCGCTGTGGCTCAAGTGGTAGAGCGCTAGCCTTGAGCTGAAGAGCTGAGGGACAGTGCCCAGGCCCAGAGTTCAGGCCCCACGACCGGCCTTCCCCCCCCCCACACACAAAAAAAGAAAAGAAACCAGATGAAGGCCAGGTTCGAGGCAGGTCAGCATGGGCAAGACTAGGAGACTATCTAAAAAGAAGAAGAAGTAAAAACCAGGTGCCTGTAATCCCAGCTACTTGAGAAGTGGACCTAAGAAGGTCATGGTCTTAGATCAGCCTAGACAAATGAGTATAAGACCTTTCCTAAAAAACTAAAAGCAAGCCGGGTGCTGGTGGCTCACGCCTGTAATCCTAGCTACTCAGGAGGCTGAGATCTGAGGATCTCGGTTCAAAGCCAGCCCAGGCAGAAGAGACCGTGAGACTCTTACCTCCAATAAACCACTAGAAAACCGGAAGTGGAGCTGTGGCTCAAGTGGTAGAACACTCGCCTTGAGCTGAAGAGCGCAGGGACAGCGCCCAAGCCCAGAGTTCAAGCCCACAACTGGGAAAAAAAAAAGAAAAAAGAAACTAAAAGCAAAGGGACTGTGTGCATGGGTTAAGCAGTAGAATATCTCAAATTGCAAGACTTGAGTTTAATCCTCAGTACAGCCAAAGAGAAAGAAAAAGAAATCCAAGAGCATACATGTCTCTGTGGGTTGCAGAACTTAGTTTAGAGCACCTTGTGGACTTCCCTATACAAGACATTTCATTGCCCCACAAACCTCAGCAGTGAGGTACTCCAGAATTGCAGCACTGTACACGGCAGCAGTGGCACCCACCCGTCCATGGCTTGTGGTTCGAGTCTTCAAGTGTCTGTGGATGCGGCCCACAGGAAACTGCAAGAGAGATGTCTCACTGGCAAGTACTGACAAAGGTCTTCATTGAGGTTAATCAATGGTTTATTACAAGTAAAGCACGAACTAATAACCTGGGTGCACAGAAGTCAAAGCTATTTGGCAACAGTTCCTAGGTCCTATGGGTATACCCTGGTAATCAGCTCCAAATCTGTCAATTCTGCACAATATGGACAGAGGATTTCATTTTCAGATGACAGAAGTGATGCTGGCTAGCATCCATTGCATATGTGATGTGTCATCCAGTCACCTCTTCCACCCAATAAGCCACACATAACTGTGATACCCAACCATCTTTCCTCTCATCCTAACTCTTCTTTCTTCAGTTTCAAGAAGTGACCTGATGGTTAGAAGTATCAGCACCACTTATCTTCTCTATTCAGAAAGAGTCCTTTGAGGCCTGGGGTGTGGCTCAAGTGGCAGAGCACTTGCTTAGTGAGTCTAAGGCCCTGAGTTCAAATCTCATGGGGCGGGGGAGGGGAGGAGAAGGGGAAGGTTTGCAGGGAGAAAGTATTCTCTCATCTCTAAAGTATCCTAATCCTACTTGCTTGTGATTTTTTCTTTTTTTTTTTTTTTTTTTTTGGGGGGGGGGGGCTTAACTCTGGGCCTGGGCACTGTCCCTGAGCTCTTCAGCTCAAGGAAAGCACTCTACTACTTGAGCCATAGTACCACTTCTCGTGTTAATTGAAGGTAAGAGGCTCAGGGACTTTCCTGCCCAGGCTGGCTTTGAACATGATCCTCAGATCTCAGCCTCCTGAGTAGTTAAGGCTTACAGGTGTGAGCCACCTGACTTGTTTGTGCTTTTACGCCCACTCCCACCAGGGTTTTTTGTTTTTTGTTTTTTTTTTTTGGTCCAGTCATGGGGCCTGAACTCTGGGCCTGGGCACTGTCCCTCAGCTCTTCAGCTCAAGGCTAGTGCTCTACCACTTGAGCCACAGTGCTACTTCCGGCTTTTTTCTTTTGCTTATGTGGTGCTAAGGAATCAAACCAAGGGCCTCATGCATTCAAGGCAAGCGTCCTACCACTGAGCCACCTTCCCAGCCCGGGGTTTTTGTTTTGGTACTGGTGGCCTTGCACATGCTGCTCTGCTCTTCTTTGCTATTTACTACTTACTGTCTTACTCTCTTATTTCAGTGGTTCCTTCCTGAAAACTTTACCACATATCTTCAATTGCTTACAGTTAGTCTACATATCCCCTTCCTTTCCAAAGGCAAAATTTAAAAATTCTTTTTTTTTGGTCCGGTTGTGGGGCCTGAACTCTGGGCCTGGGTGCTGTCCCTCAGCAGTTCAGCTCAAGGCTAGCACTCTACCACTTGAGCCACAGCGCCACTTCCGGCTTTTTTCTTTTTGCTTATGTGGTGCTGAGGAATCGAACCCAGGGCCTCATGCATGCAAGGCAAGTGCTCTACCACTGAGCCACCTTCCCAGCCCCAAAATTTAAAAATTCTTACTTTCTTGTTGCCATTTTTCCCAAACCAAACTTCTTCTAACTACTACCCTTGAAGTCCAACAGTATTCTATTTTGGTTACCAATCTACTACTCACTTTATAGATCTTATTTTTTTTTATTGTATTTATTGTTTATGTGGTACCAAGGAATTGAACCCAGGGTTTCATGCACTCCACCACTAAGTCCAATTCCCAGACCCATAGATCTCATTCTTAAAAGAGTAAAAACACTCCTGCTACCCCACTCCATTAGTTTCTTAAGCAGGATTCACACCTTATTCTCCTTTACATTCTTGTGGGGACTGTGTTGTCTGGCACCTAGTAGGAATTTAAAAATATCTCTTTGGCTGGGAACTAGTAGCTCAAACCCGTAGTCCTAATCAGGAGGCTTGACCTGAGGTCATGGGCAGGAAAATCCATGACTTTTACCTCTAATTAATCACACAAAAAAGCCAGAAGGAGAGCAGTGGTTCAAGTGGTAGAATACCACTAGCCTGAGCACAAAAACTCAGAATGCCTTGGCTGAGTTCAAGCCCCAGAACCAGCACAAATATACACAAAAAATCTTCGTAGACACCAGAGCCAGTAAAGTTCTTCATTTTTTTTTTTTTTTTGGGGTCGATCGTGGGGCCTGAACTCTGGGCCTGGGTGCTGTCCCTCAGCTCTTCAGCTCAAGGCTAGCGCTCTACCACTTGAGCCATAGAGCCACTTCCGGCTTTTTTCTTTTTTTGCTTATGTGGTGCTCAGGACTCGAACCCAGGGCCTCATGCATGCAAGGCAAGCCCTCTACCACTGAGCCACCTTCCCAGCCCCTATTTATTGATTTTTTGACACAGGGTACTTCTATGAATTCAGACTGTCCTCTGCCTCCCAAATGATGAGATCACAGGTGTGACTCCTTTTTTTTTTTTTTTTAAATCAATATATAGGAGAGTAAGCATTGCTGGATGCAACAAGAGTGTAGCAGAGCTCTACATTAACTCTTGCAATGCCACCATTGAGGAGTACAAGTTTGATGCCAGCTGGAGCTACTTAGTGGAACTACTAGGAAAGAAAGAAAAGGAAAAGGAAGGGAAAGAAGAGGAAATGGAAAAGAGAAAAACAGGAGGGGTAAAAAGAGAAGGGGAGGAAGAGAGGAAAAGAGAAACAGAAAAGCAAAGGAGGAGAAAGAAATTTGGGGACAGGGTAAAGAAGAATATAGCATTTCACAGCTTCACTTTGGTCTGAAGTCTTGCTGTGCTTGGCTGATTCATACTAGGACTTGTCAACCTCATGTTTCTGAGAGGCTTGGCTATACTCATGCAAACAAATGATCTCAAATTTGTAATTCTGTTCATCACGACTCTCAAAAACGCCTCATTCATGTTTCCAACTCTGGATGTTTTCACATGGAAGTCTGGTAAACTTCAAAATGACTACTTACTTCAATTTATCTCATAGCATGCTTCTTTGCACATGTGTCCCTTAAGTTCTAAGTTTTAGAGGCCTTCTCTGACTTCCTCCCACTCCTGTATCCTTCCCCCAAACCACCCTAATTCATGTGCATGTGGTCACTTCCTAAACAATGGCAGTAACCTCCATGTCATTTTGCACAACACTTCAAACTTGCTCAAACGAACTGTCATAGTGCCCTCAAATATACAAAGTATCAAGCTTAAGAAGTTCCCTTTACCCATTTTTCAGTGTCACCTAGACCATGTTATTACCTGCCCAAGCTCACTATTACTATAAGGATAAAATCTAAATCTTGCCACATGTACAATGCTTGTAATCCCAGAATTTAGGAGATTGAGGTGGGAGATTACAAATTTGAGGCTAGTCTGGGCTTCCAAGGGAAACCATCTTGAGACATAAATCAACAAAAACCCTTATAGTTTGGCTTTCCAATTTTCTTGTTTAGAAGTGTCTCTTGGGTGGCACAATGGCAGGGAATAATTCCAGAAATTTTTGAGTGTGTTTAAATTGCAACAATATATGAAGTTGGAAAATGGTTAGTGGTTTGTATTCATTCAGCCCATAACTGACCTAGCAGGGAAATATTCAGAGAACTAAAACAAGTATTCCTTCCTGCCCTACCCCCAATTCTCACCCAGAGATTTAACGCAACCCTGCAAACACCTCCGAAGAAAAACCATAGCACACTTGCTTTCATACAATTGGTAACAATTAGGAACATAACTAAAACCTTAAGAGAACAGATTTTAATAGAATAAAATTACAAAATTCATTCAGGCCTCTTTACAATTTATTCTCATACAAAAGAATATAAAATTAATGGTTAATTTTATGACTTAAGTCTTGATCAATGAACCTCATTATTAAAGGCCTCGGTAATAAGAAGACATCTCTGAAGTTAATATCTATGGGTCATGAATAGAAACAGTAAAAGAAAATGATTCAACCTATACTGTAAGCCTCTTTACCTGTAGACCAGCTCTCTGTGAGCGAGACACTGCCTTAGCCTTGGCCTTCCCGCTGTCCTTCCCAGCTTTGCCTCCAGCCTAGATGAAAAAAAAAGTTTTGGATTAAAAGTTGAATACTGGGCTGGGAAGGTGGCTCAGTGGTACAGTGCTTGCTTTGCATGCATGAGGCCCTGGGTTCAATTCTTCAGCACCACATAAGCAGAAAAAGCCAGAAGTGGTGCTGTGGCTCAAGTGGTTAGACCACTAGCCTTGAGCTGAAGAGCTGAGGGACAGCACCCAGGCCAAGTTCAGGCCCCACACCGACAAAAAAAAAAAAAAAGACAAAAAAAAAAAAGTTGAATACTACCTCAAAAAATAACAGACAACAAAACTTGTGGTTTTATTTTTATTTTAGGTAACTAAGAGCTATCTAGGTGATCTCCTGCCTCATTGGTATCCTATCAACTTCCATGAATTTCTATTAAAAGATATCAAGCTAGGCATTGTTGGCTCTCGCTTGCAATCCTAGCTACTCAGGAGGCTGAGATCTGAGGATCACGGTTCAAAGCCAAAGCCAGCCCAAGCAGGAAAGTCCATGAGACTCTTATCTTCAATAAACCACTAGAAAACTGGAAGTGGCACTGTGGCTCAAGTGGTAGAACGCTCACCTTGAGCTGAAGAGCACAGGGACAGTGCCCAAGCCCAGAGTTAAAAAAAAAAAGATTGACCAAAAAAAAAAAAAAGATATCAAATCTGGGATCTGTAGATCTTAGTTCAAAGCTAGCATAGGCAGAACAGTCCTTGACACTCCATCTCCAAAATAACCAGCAAAAAACCAGTCTGGTGAACCGAGCATCTGTGGCTCACGCCCATAATTCTAGCTACTCAGGAGGCTGAGATCTGAGGATAGCATTTCAAAGCCAGCCTGCGCAGGAAAGGCCCGGAAACTTTTTTTTTTCTCGATCGTAGGGCTTGAACTCTGGGCCTGGGCACCGTCCCTGCTTTTCAGCACAGCACCACTTCCAGTTTTCTAGTGGTTTATTGGAGATGAGTCTAATGGACTTTCCTGCCCAGGCTAGTGTGAGCTTTGAACCGTGATCCTAAGATCTCAGCTTCCTGAGCAACTAGGATTATAGGCATGAGCCACCAGTGCTTGACTGCCCAGAAATTCTTATCTCCAATAAACCACTCAGAAAACTGGAAGTGCCACGGCTGCTCAAGTGGTAGAGTGCTAGCCTTGAGCTGAAGGGCTGAGGGACAGCGCAGGTCCTGAGTTCAAGCCATAGACTGCCACCAAAAAAAAATCTCTCCCAAACCAAAAAACTTGTATTTGGCCAATTACTTTCCCAATCACTTTCTCAAACTGTGATGTATCTAGTTGTTATCTACATATCTATATTTGTTATTGTGTAGATGTTTCAACTTTGTTAATATATGTACATATATGTGTATATATGTGTGTATGTATGTGCACACACAGAGATAAACTTAGAAACCAGATACTGACCTATCTTCATACTAATTTAACAGACACAGCTCACCTCCTATCAAGTTTAAAAATCTTTTTTTTTTTTTTTTGGGGGGGGGGTCCGGTCATGGGGCCTGAACTCTGGGCCTGGGCGCTGTCCCTCAGCTCTTCAGCTCAAGGCTAGCACTCTACCACTTGAGTCACAGCGCCACTTCCAGCTTTTTTCTGCTTATGTGGTGCTGAGGAATCGAACCCAGGGCCTCATGCATGCAAGACAAGCACTCTACCACTGAGCTACCTTCCCAGCCCTGCTTCTTGTATTTTTATCTTAAGGCTTGAGTTTTAATTACCACTAAATGGATATACAATACAGTATATCATTGGAGTCTGAGAAACATCTTAACACTGGTGAGGATCAGTAAAATCATCAACTTGACCAAATGAATTTAGTTGTCAACCTATTCCTCCATCTGGAAAAGTTATTTTACTACAAACAATAACAATAATTATGTCACAGAAATTTTAAGCCGGGCACTAATGGTATCTATAATCCTAGCTACTCAGGAGACTGACATCTAAGATTCATGATTTGAAGCCAAGCTGTGCAGGAAAGTCCATGAGATTTATATCCAACTAACCAACAAAAAGCCAGAGCTGGGTTATGTGGCTCAAGCTTTTTTGCTCAAGGACAGTGCCCAGGCCCCGAGTGCGAGCCTCAATACTGCACCAAATAAATACAAAATGTTAAAAATTACCGAAGTTGTATAATTTACAAGAACCGACACGTGCGTCCTCTGGGCTTAGGCGTCTGCTTACGGCGTGGGTGTTAGGTCTACTGGATCCCACCCGTGCTATCCTCAAGCGGGAGAAAGAATAAAACCTGACACAGATCGGGCATGAGAAGTACTGGCTTCGGGTTAACTTTTAGGCTGGCGGCTCGGGTTTGGGTTATGTCAAACCCACTGCACCGACACAGACTGTGACCCTGCCACCGGCACGTCCTTTCCATCAACTGGGGGCTGGGGATCGGATTTCAGTCGCCTTTGAGTCGTTCAAAGGCACGCTATTCTTCAGAGTGAGCGGAAGACGCTGTGAGGGAGAAGGAGGAGAACAAGTCCCCAGCCGGGGCGGAGGCAGAGGGCTGGGGAGATCGCCGGCTCGCGGGCGGGCCTGAAGGAGAGGAGCGGGGCCGTGCGCCCGGCCCGCTCCGAAGCGACCCGGCCCCAGCCCCGGCCCCGGCCCCGCCGGCCGGGCGCAGCGCCCGACCCCGCTCGGGGCCCGCGGCGGTGCCGCCTCGCAGAGCCGGTGCTGCCTTTCTCTTCCCGCGGTCAGGCGGCTGCGGCCGGGCGTTCGCCGGCGGGGCCGGGAAGGTGGCTCAGTGGTAGAGCGCTTGCCTCGCATGCCAGAGGCCCTGGGTTCGATTCCCCAGCACCACATAGCAGAACAAGCCGGAAGTGGCGCTGTGGGTGGTAGGGCGCTCGCCTGGCCTGAACAGCTGAGGGACGGCGCCCAGGCGCCCCAGAAAAGAGGTGGCCGCCGACCGCTCCGCCCCACGACCCAGCCCGACGCTCACGCAGGGCGCGGCGGCCCCGGGACGCTGACTGCCCCGGCGCCGCCAACTCCACAAGTAACGGCACCGACGCCGGGCGCCGCGCCCGCTCGGCGCCCCTTACCATGGTCACGGCAGACTCTGCTCGGCTGCGGGACCACCCACTACCACCCCGCGCCGCCGCTGCCGCCGCCGCCCTCAGCACCGGCCGCCACCGCCGCCGCCGTCGCCGCCGCCGCCAAAACCGGACAATGCCCAAGGCCCGCCTAGTACTATCACAACCAATGGCCGTTCGACTTGCTGGTTTGAACGCTAGAGGTTAGCCAATCGGGAGCCTTCTTCTACCTAGAAGCCCGCCCCCGTGGCAACGCCTCCTCAACGGTTGTTTGTTTTTGCACACGGCTCGGGGAGGCGGAGCTTCCAGCTCCAAATACTGTTGAGCTCTCGGCCTTGTTTGTTGTTGTTTTGTATTTTTATTTTTTGCCAGTCCTGGCGCTTGAAATCAGGGCCTGGGCGCTGTCCCTGAGCTTCTTTGCTCAAGGCTAGCACTCTACCAGTTGAGCCCCAGCGCCACTTCTGGCTTTTTCTGAGGACTCGAACCCAGAGCTCCCAGCATGTTAGGCAAGCCACATTCCCAGCCCTCTCGGCCTTATTTCACACGCAGAATGTAACGAACAGAAGAACTGACCAATAATAGTGCAAGAGAGCCAATGAAAACATTGCCCGCGAGCAAAGGGGGCGGGAGGCCGGGAAGGACAGCAGGGTTAGCCAATGAGGTGGAGTGTTTTCTGGCGGCTGTTGTCTTCCTGCGCATTCTCAGCCGCGTTGGCTCCGGGCTCTGGGCCGCTCCGGGGAGGTCGGGAGGCAGCCGCTCCCGCGCTGTCCGCTCGGTCGGCCTGCTGCCTCGGTCTTTGGTGGGACCAGCGCCACGTGGCTCCGAAGTTTAAGGTTTTACGCGCAGCCGCAGTCTGGCAGCCGATCTCCTGATGGCGCGGCGGCAGACCCCGATCGAGGACTCCCTTGCTGCTGAAGTTTGGGGAACACCCTGGAGTAGAGCCGAGGAAAAGCTGCCATGTGGAATTGCCTTCCTGTGGAAGCTGTTTTGAAAACTAAAGAATGTATGTGAGCATGCGCCGATGGCTCACGCCTGTAATCCAAGCTACTCAGGAGGTTGAGATCTGAGGATCACGGTTCAAAGCCAGCCCGGGCAGGAAAGTCTGTGAGACTCTTATCTCCAATAAACCATCAGACAACACGAAGTGGCGCTGTGGCTCAAGTGGTAGAGCGCTAGCCTTGAGCTGAAGAGCTGAGGGACAGTGCCCAGGCCCAGAGCAAAAGTAGAAATGAGGTGCCTTTCCAGCATTTTCCTGCTTGATTGGTTCAGATGCGTCCTAATTGTGTCGCTGTTCATTCCCTCCCTATCTCTGCTTTATTTTCTTGTAGTAGTTTGTGTTCTCTCAATAGCATTTCACAGTGTAACCTGAAACACTTTCTGTGTTGTGTGCTGACGCGCGCGCGCGCGCGCGCGCGCGCGCGTGTGTGTGTGTGTGTGTGTGTGTGTGTGTGTGTGTCCTGGCATCCACTTCCTGTTTCTGGTGGTTAATTGGAGAGTCTCTCAGACCTTCCTGCCTGGATTGGCCTTGAGCCATGAGACTTAGATCTCTTCTGAGTGGTTAGGATTACAGGCGTGAGCCACCAGTACCTGGCTTCTTCCTTGACTTTTTTTGCTCACAGTTGGCACTCTACTACTGGAGCCATGTCTCCAGTTCTGGATTTTTGATAGTTAATTGGAGATATCATGTTTTCAAATCTGGATCCTCAGATTTCAAACTCCTGAATATTTAGGATTATAGGCATAAGCCATTGGTGCCTAGCAGGAAATAATAAAATGGTGGCTTGTTTACCTCTTTAATGAGTGAAACCATGGTTTGACAAACCCAGCAATAAGGGGCTGGGAAGGTGGCTCAGTGGTAGAGCACTTGCCTTGCATGCTTAAGGCCCTGAGTTCGATTCCTCTGCACCACATAAGCAAAAAAGAAAAAACCCGGAAAAAACCCAGGCCCAGAGTTCATTCAGGCCTATGACCGGGCTCCCCCTCTACCCCCCCCCCCCCCTCCAAAAAAGGAGGAAATTCTTTTCTCTCCAAGGAAAAGTAATAATGAAAAGGAGGTTAGGATACCTATTGTACACTTACAGTAGTTTTTTTTGTTTGTTTTGTTTTTTGGTGGTCCTGGGGGGCTGAACTCTGGGCGCTGTCTCTCAGCTCTTCAGCTCAAGGCTAGTGCTCTACCACTTGAGCCACAGCACCACTTCCAGCTTTTTTCTGCTTATGTGGTGCTGAGGAATTGAACCCAGGACCTCATGCATGCAAGGCAAGCACTCTACCACTGAGCCACCTTCCCAGCCCTATTTACAGTAGTTTAACACAGATGTTTGGCCAGAAATAATACAATAAACATGTTTAGTCATAGGAATTAGTTTTGGACCACAATACTCACGACCACTTAACTTTGAGTTTGTATTACCAACAGAAACAATATATATACATATATATATATACATATTTATTTATTTTTGGTTTTTGAATTTGGCCTGAGCTCTGTCCCTGAACTTTTTTTTTTCTTTTGATTCATCTTGGGGCTTGAACTCTGGGCCTAGGTGTTGTCCTGAGCTCTTCAGCTCAAGGCTAGTACTCTATCACTTGAGCCACAGCACCACTTCTGGTGGTTAATTGGAGATAAGAGTCTCATGGGCTTTCCTGCCTGGGCTGGCTTTGAACCATTGTCTTCAGATCTCAGCCTCCTGAGTAGCTAAGGTTACAAATGTGAGCCCCACTGTCCCTGAACTTTTTTGCTCAAGGATAGTACTCTAGCACTTGAACTACACTTCAAGCCAATTCTGGAATTTTTTTTTTGGGGGGGGGTAGTTAATTGGAAATAAGAATCTCATGGAGTTTCTGCCTGGACTGACTTTGAACTGCAATCTCAAATCTCAGCCTCTGTGTAGCTAACAGATGTAAGCCAGTTATACCAGCGGTTTGTTGTTTGTTTGTTTGTTTGTTTTTGAATGAGGGTCTCACTAGACAGAGGAGGCTGGCCTGAACTGACAATCCTGCCTCCGTCTTCTGAGTGCTGGGATTACAGGCATGTGCCACCAGACCTAGTGTTGTAGCTCATCAATAGATGAATCTATTCTTTAGGTAATAGCTGAGTGGGCTATTAGGAGCTGGGCCTAGGTGGAGTAAGTAGAATAGTGAAAGTATGCATTTGAAGGGTTTATCTGGTCCCTGGACCTTTCTGCCCCTCCCTACCCTTCCTCCCTCCTCTTCTCTTCTCTTGGCTTCCTGGTTTTGATGAAGGGAGCAGTCTCCTTTCTCTGCCACATACTTCCTCTACTATTTTTTTTTGGGGGGGGGGTCTGGTCATGGGGCCTGAACTCTTGGCCTGGGTGCCGTCCCTCAGCTCTTCAGCTCAAGGCTAGTGCTCTACCACTTCAGCCACAGCACCACTTCTGGCTTTTTGCTTATGTGGTGCTGAGGAATTGAACCCAGGGCCTCATGCATGCAAGGTAAGTGCTCTACCACTGAGCCACCTTCCCAGCCCCTTTCTCTTATGTTCTGCTCTACCCCAGGCCCATAGCGATGGAGCCAGCCAGCCCACCATACACTGAAATCTCTGAAATCATCAGCCAAAGTAAATCTTTCCTCCTCTCTCATAAGCCGTTTATGTCAGCTGTAATTCACCATCTTCTACACATTTATGATTCTCTTTTGTGTATCCAAAGGTGCAAGTGAAGGACACAGAAACTGCCATCACCAGACATTTCTTCCTACTCTGCATTATTACTCTTCTTCGGCCCTAAGTAAGTCTATTAGGCCACAAGATAGGTCTAGCGCAGGGCATTGAAACATTATTTTTGTGGAGAACAGTTCAGTTCACCTGCTGAAATTCTGGATCATCAGCAGGGTTGTGATTGGAACATTGACTTCCTCAGAAATCTTTAGTGTTTATTGAAATTTTGCAAAGGCAGAGTACCTTCTGAGAACCAAACCATTTATTCTAAGCATAGCTTAAGTGTGCTCCTTGTTTTAAATGATTCTGTGAAGCTGAACACTAGTGGCTCACACTTATAGTCCTAGCTACTCAGGAGGCTAAGTTCTAAGGATCAAAGCCAGCTAGGACAGAAAAGTCTGAAACTCTTATCTCCAACTAACCAGCAAAAAGTCAGAAGTGGAACTGTGGTTCAAGTGGTAGAGTGCCAGCCTTGAGCAAAAAAAGCCAAGTAAGAACTTGAGGGCTTGGCTTCAAACCTCAGTACTGGTGCACTCAAAAAATTACTCCAGGGGGCTGGGAAAGTGGCTTAGTGGTAGAATGCTTATCTAGCATGCATAAAGCCCTTGGTTTGATTCCTCAGTACCACATAAACAAAAAAGCCAGAAAGGGTGCTGGGGCTCAAGTGGTAGAGTATTAGCCTTGAGCAAAAGAAGCTCAGGGACAGTGCCCAGGCCCTGGGTTCAAGCCTCAGGACTGGCAAAAAAAAAAAAAAAGAGTCCAGGTTACTGGATTCTGGGAAGGCATGGTGGGGCTCAATAAGAGATGAGGAGGGAGGCCAGAGTTACAGGTATGACTACTTACTGTTGAGCTTCCTGACTTGAAGAATGAGTGTTCACTCTGTCTAGCTAGCTCTGCTCTAGAACACACCAGAGCAATGAATGATGTCAGGTCAGGCCACTTGAGGGTATAAGGAGAGTAGCTTGCAGGGCACATGGAATCACCTCTGTTAAAGGTGGCTGAATGGTTAGGTAGTCTAGAACCACACCAATAAGAACCCCAGGAATCCCACACACAGTTCTGCCCTAAGTCATAAGTGGGCTGATGAAGGTTTGAGTCTTGCAGCTGTACCCAAAACAGTTTTCCATCCCCACCAGGGGAGGTGTGGTGTCAGCTGGTGGACAAATGAGATCATCCTAGCCATCCTGGTGAGTCACTTGCCTGAGCCATGTCACTAATTAGCTCTCACTGCCAGGAAACCAGAACCCACTAATCCTAGAACATTCACAATCATTGACAACAGCTCTTCTTCCCTGGGAAGAATGTTCTCCGCTGTTTTTCCTGAAGCTTCTCATGAGCTTAACAGGCTATTTTTATGTTATAAGGGACCCCATTACTAACCTAAACCCTCATCCCTAAAGTAGACAAATACACTTTTCTGACTAAACTAGACCAT